TGGATTACCTTACAGCTTGTAGGCAGGAAGACCATTTAGGAGGCTAAGAGTTTAAAGGGAAGAACGTTATTATGGAATAGGACCAGAAGAGTGGGGATAGATTCTAGATACGATTCTTTAGGTGCAGTTCTGTAAGTGATTGTTAGACAGTAGACCATTTGAACCATTTAAATACATAATGTACCCAAACTGATTTAACAATACATTCATTATTTCATGTATACTTAACCAAGCATCTGTGACCTTATGTGGTAAAAGATGTTTTGAGTTGCTCCTCCAGGCCCTAGTACTGTAGTAGTCTCCTATATGCAAAAGACAAAGTACCTTTTTAGGTCAGTAACTTGTCTCGACGACTTCTTTCTTTCGAAATCTAAATTCAATCCTACAAGTATTTATTGAAAACTGTTATGTATCAGGATCTAATACTGTGTCCCTTTAGCTACACCAGTGATACTTAATGAACCAAAATATCTGTGAACACCTAACGCTGTACACAGATTTTTCTGTATATATATATTTGTACGTGTGCTTTTTTTCTGGAAAGAAGGGCTGTAGCTTCTACAAGTTTTCACAAAAGAGTGTGCTGTAAAGGACAGGGAACTACTTATTTAGAAGAGTAAAAGAATGATTCTGAGGGGTCCTGGGATTGAGCCCCACATTGGGCTCTCTGCTCAGTGGGGAGCCTGCTTCTCCCTCTCCCCTTGCCCCTGTTCATGTTCTCTTTTGCGGTGTCTCTCTCTCAAATAAAATCTTAAAAAAAAAAAAAAAAAGATTCTGAGAACTGAATGCTTACCAATGAAAAGGTTTAAAAGTAAAGACATCTAAACTCCGTCTCAGCTTCCAGGGGTTGTGATGCAGTGGACTTGAGGTAGAGTAGGGGTGTTGGGATCATCAGGCTTTGGGACAGCAAATTATCTTTAGTATGGAGTTTATAAGTATCTGAAAAATCCAGGATTTCTCTTCTCTCTCCTTTTTTTTTAAAGATTTTATTTATTTATTTATTTGAGAGAGAGAGAGAAAGAGAGTGAGAAGGAAGAGGGTCAGAGGGAGCAGCAGACTCCCCACTGAGCTGGGAGCCCGATGTGGGACTTATTCCCAGGACTTCAGAATCATGACCTGAGCCAAAGGCAGTTGCTTAACCAACTGAGCCACCCAGGCGCCTGTCTAGGTTTTCTCTTATTTAAAGTAGGTAAGTCATATTTTTTGTGTATACTGTTGGAATCATCCTATAGGTTATGCCAACTACTTCTGAAGATATCCGGGGGTGGGGGGGAGAGCAAGATGGTACATTTTAGACCAAAGGGAGATTTCTTTGTAGCCCAGCTAATTTGGGTGGATTGTGAAAGGAGATGGTATTGTGATTCATTTCTATTAGTATGTAGGGTGTTTTATTAGGTGTAAGAAATGAATTGGGGCCAAGAAAGAACATGAAGTCCTGCAAACAAGAGGCTTTGGAATTTGAGTAATTCAGGCCTTTCTTTTAAAGCTAAGGGATAAGGCCTAAAGGATTAGAAATTATTTTATTCATAACATCTTGAATTAACATTAGATGAGACAGTCTCTTTGGCTTTGGGGAGTCTGTTGAGTGGGGATGTTTTTCATTAGAGTAAGTCCTTTTTAGATCAGTCCTTTTCAAACTTTAATATGCATATAAATGTTAAAATGCTGATTCTGATTTAGTAGGTCTGGGGTGGGGTCTGAGATGCCACACTCCTAGAAAACTCTCAGAAGGTACTGATGTTGCTACTGCAAGGACCACACTTGGAATAGCAGTTTTAGATAGTTCTTGAAGTAGTAGGAAATGACTGGATTAAGAACACTAACATTAGGGGTGCCCGGGTGGCTCAGTAGTTAAGTGTCTGCCTTTGTCTCAGGTCATGATCCCAGTGTACTGGGATCAAGCCCCGCATGGGGCTGCTTGCTCAGTGGGAGGACTGCTTCTCCCATTCCCACGCCCCTTGCCTGTGTTCCCTCTCTCGGTGTGTCTTTCTCTGTCAAATAAATAAGTAAAGTCTTTTAAAAAAAAGAATTTATTCATTTAAAAAAAAAAACACTAAATTAGAGGGGAAAAATGCTCTCTGGGTTAGTATAGATTATTAAAAATTAAATTTAAATTCCTTCCTTCCTTTCCCTTGTGTCTGTCTGGAGGTGGCCAAATTAGAACATCTCTGAGACTTTAAAAAATTTAGACTGTATAGACAGTAAGTTTAAACAGGAGGATCTAGAGACCCCAAATGAAAGTCATTTACCATTTTTTTCTTGAGGAAATAGAAAAATACACCCTTGGGCTAAAAATAAGTCATCAACTACTATGAGGATTTTAATATAAAAAATTATAATTAATAATATCCATAGAAATGTTATTAAACATTTGCTTATTCATTCAAATATTTCAGCTTTTACAATATCCAAGGCATATTAATCACTTGTTATAATGTAATCTAGTTTTACTGTTACAATGTTAGCTAGTGTCTTCCATTAGGTAATCCCATCTTGCTGGTTTTATTGTAAGTCTATTAAATTATTCAATAAATTATGAGCTGGTATACATGCTAGAAATAAAAAAATGCTATTGTATCATAATCAGTATTGTAAGATATCTCAATTTATAAGTTTATGAATTTTTAAAAATTAATTGATGACTTTTATATCTTGTGATAGACTAAAAATTAAACCCAGAGAGGTCAAAAGAAACTCCTGTGGTTTAGTGCTCCTAAAAATGCTAGGCAAAACATAAACATATATAAACACTTAATTTATATATACATAATTTATATGACAGACTAAAAATTAGTGTTATATGACACATGGGAACTTAAACCTCTCTGGTTTAGTGCTCCCAAAAATGCTGGATAAAATAGTAAGGAAAGGTAAATCACCTAACAGAAAAATGTATGACACATAAACAGGCATTTGCCAGAAGACCAATAAACATGAAATAAATTACCAGTGAACACAGCCTTATTTTAATATTCAGAGAAATGTTAATTAAAGGGACAAGATAAACATTTTATATCAATCAGACTAGTAAAAACTACAAATTTAGTGGCACCTGGTTGGCTCAGTCACTAGAGCATGCGACTCGATTCCAGGTCATGAGTTCGAGCCACACATTGGGTGTAGAAATTACTAAAAGTAAGTATATAAATAAATAAACTTAAAAATTTTTTTGATTGTACGTAGCGTAGACAAGGATGTGAAATAGTGGGAACTCATTCATTTTTGGTAAGAGTGTAAATTAAACCAACAATTTGGAAATAATTTGCATAACCTATTAAAGATGAACATGTATATGAACATGAACTCAGCAGCCCTGTAATTTCATTCTTAAATATATATCCTAATTAGGAGAGATTCTTAAAAAGATACCCCAAGAAACAAATACAAGAACGTTCTATGCAGCACTATTATAACGGGGGGGGGGGGGGGGAAAACAACTAGAAATAACCCAAATGTTCATATGTCATATATAGATAAAATACATTTTGGTATATATACAATGGAAATATTATTTATCCAGCAATCAAAATGAATGAACTCCAGCTGCACAGATTAAGAATGAATTTTTAAAATGTAATACTGGAGGGCGCCTGGGTGGCTCAGTGGGTTAAGCCACTGCTTTCAGCTCAGGTCATGGTCTCAGGGTCCTGGGATCGAGTCCCGCATCGGGCTCTCTGCTCAGCAGGGAGCCTGCTTCCCTCTCTCTCTCTGCCTACTTGTGATCTCTGTCAAAAAAATGAATAAAATCTTTAAAAAAAAATGTAATACTGGATTACAAAACAAATCATAGCAGAATATATACAATATGATTGTATTTATTTTATATTTATTTAAAATTCAAAAACAGAAAACCTAAATGTTGTGTTGCTTAAAGATGATACATGCATATGTATACAAACTATAAAGAAGACCTAAAGATTAACAAAATTCAGGGTGGTGGTTTTAGAAAGAGGTTATGTAACTGATGAGCACATAGGAAGGGGGCTTCAGGTATATTGGTAATATTTTATTTCTTAAGCTAGATAGTGCATGGGTCTAAATATTTTCATTTGTTATTAAAATATTCTTTTGATATATACTTTATAGATATGTTTCCTAACTCTAAAAAATAAAAATATAGGGTGTCTGGGTGGCTCAGTCGGTTAAGCAAACTGACTCTTGACTTCAACTCAGGTCATGATCAGGTTATGACCTCAGGGTCTTTGGGATAAAGCCCCCAACAGGCTCCCTGCTCAGCATGGAGTCTGCTTGAGATTCTCTCTCTCTCTCTGTTTCTCAAAATAAATAAATAAAATCTTTTATAAAGTAAAATAATAGAAAAATATATTCAAATAGATTAAAGGTTATTCCTATAATAACTCTGCTTATATGCTAATATATTATTTTCCTAATAATATTTTCCTAATATATTTCTAATATGCTTCCTTGAGTGGGTGAGAACAGGATAGCATTAAAGGTAATAGGTGAGGAAGTTTTTGTGGAGGATGACATATATTTCATGTATATCATGTAAAATTGTTTAAACCACTGTTTTAAGTTTAGAGCAGTATAGTTTAGTGGTGTGGGCAGACCTATAAACAAGTAACTATAACAAAATATGAGTGCTTCACTAGAAGACATATGTTTACCAAGAAAATAGCTAGGAATCAGCCAGGAAATCTTTATGAAATAAATGTTAATTAAGCTGGGTCTTTAGGGATGAGCAATTTGTAAAAGGAGGTAGGTGAGGGAGCCCACATTCCTCTGTGGGGGAAAAGGAAGTACAAAGGCACAGAGGCCTAAATGTCCACGGAGAGTTGAATAAGTAAATTCAGGTATGTTACGAGCCATACTATGAAGAGCCTTTTCTAGGAAACTATGGAGTTTGCATGATGGGCATTGAGTTTTATTACTTAAACTAGGGTTGTTGACTGGTTTACTGTTATATGCAAGGCTCTGCTAGGATTTATTTTGAAATTCTGTATCTTTGTATATTTATGTTCTTTTTCCTCTACTTCCAGGCTGCTATATGGCAAGCTCTAAACCACTATGCTTACCGAGATGCAGTTTTCCTTGCAGAACGACTGTATGCTGAAGGTTTGTAATCTCTTCATCTCTATAGAACCATACGTGAATAAAATATATGGAATTCTGTCATTTCTTAGGACATATAAGATTCTGGTGATGACTTTTATTTTTCCTTTATGATTGGCACTAATTCATAAGAACTTCTGAAAGTATCTTACATGATACTTTTAATAACTGTAGAGTTGTTCCAGGTTTTACACTATGGCTTACTTACTTACTTTTACACTATGGCTTACTTAATCATTTTCCAATCTTTAGATACTTTTTTCCAGGTTTTTTCTTAGAAAAGTCTGTATTCTGTGGCTAATAGCAAGAGTTTAGTCTGTAGCCTTGGTAAAAACCCTTAACCCTGTCACTTAAATATGAAGTTGTATACCTTGGGCAAGTTACTCAATGTCTGAGTATTTCAGATTTTTCATCCAGCAAATAAAGATAGTAATAATTGCTTCTTAACATTGAAGAATCAAACGAGATAATGTATTTAAAGCATTTGGGACAGGCTTCTGGCATGGTAATAAATGTTTAGTAAACATCTGGTAATATATGTTTTGTTTCTGTCACTAATTATTGTAATTCTCTTTCTAAGATGCTAATATAGATAATTAGGTACAGCCTTTTGTTCTTTTAAGTCCTTTCTTTGTGTTATGTATTCTAGAATAGAATTTACAACTTAAACAGTGTGATCAATTCTACAACAAATTACTTTTTGCCCATTTGGTAATAATAATTTGGGGTGTTACCAACAGCATAAGATTTCCTTTATAATCCTGTAAATATCAGAGTTGATCAATTTAATATACTTTTGCTTACTTGAGAATTGTGGGGTATTTTGTCTTGCATTTTTATTACTATAAGGGATCCTGGATATTTTCTCAGGTGTTTGTTTTAAATTTATTCCTATTTCTGTGAGCTATATCTTTATTATATATTTTCCCCAGATTGTTGCTTTTTAATGTTAATTCTGTTGGTTTTTATTATTTTAATATTTAAAATTTTTACATAGTTCAACTCACCAGCTTTGTCATTCATACTTTCTCTTATTGCTTTAGTAGCTGGAAAATTGCCATCCTTCTACCACTACAGTGAATGTGTGGTTATTGGTGCTTTAAAAAAATTGAAAGAATTTATCATGGTGTTGTTAATTTATTCAATATTACATATTAAGCAATGTTTTTTCCCTCCTACATGGTATTTTACTTGGTTTTATATTAAATTTTAAAATAATATTTTGTTCTATCTCCAGAATTTCTTCTCTTCCATTAATTACCTATCTTTAACCCAATATCATACCATTTTTAGTTAACACTTTATATTGTATTTCAGTATTTCATAAGGCCTATCTCCCATCATTTTTTTTCTTTCCAATTCGTTCTCTGATAAGTCTTTACCCTTTTTTATCCTTCATTTTTCTATGTGTATTTTATTATTGCTTTGAAATTTCACAAAGATTTTCATCAGTCCTGACCTGTAACCGTATAATTCTGTAAATTAATTTAGAAGTATTGACATCTTACTATATATTAGCCTTCCCAACCAGAAAGGGTGCTGCCTTCTTTTTACTCAGGTGTGTTTGCTTAACTCAATTTTTCTACTTTTTGTGACATTCCCATTGGATTACTTGCCAAGAAGTTTAATTTTTTTATGGTCATAGATGAGCTTTATTTTTTTGTATTTTGTGTGTTCTTGTATGAATTGCTAGTGGAACCTTTCAACTCAGTTGTATGATTTTACTATAGTAGTCAGTCCTTAGTAACCAAAATGTAAGCATAAGAAGGTAGATATTAGGGGTTTGCCAGGCATGTGTCACAAGAAAGGACAAGGGATAAGAACATTACGAACATAGGCAAGATCTGGAACCAGGAAACAGAAACTGTATAGGAGAGTTAACCCAGAAGGGGATTGGTAAATAAGATACAGAGAAGTGCCAGCAGTCCCAGTGAGGTTGAATTGGGAAATGTATGTGAATAACATGGGAGCAGAAGACCATGAGCCAACCAGTTGTAAAAGTCTTCCATTAATGAAGCATAATGTCCTGAATTTAGTAGCTGAGAGTTATGAGAAGGTATGTACTCAGGAGCAGGGAATATCACAAACAGGCAAAGAGTAATGCTTGGAAACAGTTTTAAGAAGCACAGAGGAGGGGCACCTGGGTGGCTTCGTCGGTTAAGCATCTGTCTGCCTTGAGCTTGGGTCATGGTCCTGGGGTCCTGGGATCAAGCCCTGCATCATCATCAGCCTCCCTGCTCAGCAGGGAATCTGCTTCTCCCTCTCCTTTTCTCCTCCCCCCACCACCCCCGCTCATGCTTGCTCTCTCTCTTAAATAAATAAGTAAAATCTTAAAAAAAAAAAAAAAAAAAAAAAGAGGAAACCTTACCCTGACTCTGATATAAGTGAGATATGAGGGAAATAACATCCCTTTGAGAGTGCTGTCAGGTCCTTCAAGGGAGAACAGGTGTTCAGAGAGGACAGTGGGGAAGATCTGGGCAACAGGAGTCTGAGATCCCAATTAAAAGATTTAGAAGAGTGGGAGGCTTAGAAGATAATGCAATAGATTACCCTACTCTGCTCAATTATATAAAAGCAAGGTTTATCATGCATAATCTACTTACGTATATTTTCATTGATACCTGCACAACCCTCATGTTTTGCTGTCTTATACTTTCTTTTTTGATTTTGTTTATTAAAGGATTGGCAGTTTCTAGTTTATTATAGTTCTGCTTCAGAAGATTGTGAATTGTGTTTTCAAATTAAGATGATTAGATTTTCCCATAGAATTGAGGCAGGATTCCTGATGAATCTGCATAAAGCTGTTCAATTCACTTTCTATGTTTGATACAGCACTTGCACTTGGAAAGTTGCTCAGTAAGTCTTAGTGTCTCTCAGTATACAGTTGACCCTTGAATAACATGGATTTGAACTGTGTGTAGGTCTACTTATATGCAAATTTATTCAGGACAGTACTGTAAATGCGTTTTCTCTTATGTTTTTTGTTTGTTTGTTTTGTTTTTGTTTTTGTCTCTCTTAAGGGGGGGGGCAGGGAGGAAGAGAGAGAGAAAATCTCAAGCAAACTCCATACCCAGCCCAGAGCCCAATGTGGGACTTGATCCCACAACCCTGAGATCATGACCTGAGCCTAAATCAAGAGTCAGACATTTAACTGACTGAGCCACCCGGGCGCCCCACCCTTCTGATTTTTTTAATAGCTTTTTCTTATCTCTTAATCTTTATTGTAGGAATACAGTATATAACATGCAGAATATGTATTAATCTAGTGTTGATGTTATCAGTAAGGCTTCTGGTCAGCGGTAGGCTTTTAGTAGTTAAGTTTTGGGGGAGTCAAAAGTTACTTGGGGATTTTTGACTGCAGGATAGGTGCCCCTAACCCCCTCATTGTTCAGGAGTTAACTGTAGAGCCTAATCACTCAACTCCAATTTCTGTGAGGGAAGATTTTAGAATTTAAGTGCAACAGGAACAGATACTATCTTCATTCAATAATAATGACAAGCATAACTTCTACCACTTATTGATTTCTTACTATGTACTAGGTTCTCTACATACTTAATATTAATTCCTTATTTAATCTTCAGTAATCCTATAAAGTTGACGTTGTTATTGCCATTTTAGAAATGAAGAAACTGAGACCAGCGTTCACAGGCAGTAAGTAGTAAATCTTTCTGATCCCATTTTATGAAGGGTAGCAAATACATGCCACTCTGATTTATGATAGACATCACTGATCTATCATACTACTTATTCCCCTTGAACTTGGAATTGTCATTGACATGGTGTTGCTGACTGACAGTATTAGTTGATTAGAGTTGGTGTACTAGATGTAACCTGTTTGCCCTTTTGCTCACTGGCCTCCCGTGCCACTAGTGGTAGCTGCTGTGTTTTAGGTAAAGACACCCAACAGGGCATGAGGCTAAAGAAGTAGATGGATAGGAACCTCTGAAAGCCAAATTCTTGAGTTTCACTAGTTCCTTATCATCCATTTTTGTTTGCATAGTTAGTCCACCTAAGACCGTAGTATAAGCAAAGTGGTGTAAGAAAGAATGTCAACTCATATGTTCAGTAGCCTTTTGATCTCGAGTAAGAAGTTATTCTGAGCCTAATTTTCCTCATCTTTAAAATAGGAGAAGAAATCTCTATTTAACAAGATAGTTTTCAGCACTAACTATAATCTGCTATGGTTTCTGGTACATAGGAAGTCCTTGACAAGTTCCTGTCCCCTAGCATACTCTAATACAGTGGCTTTTCAGATTTTTTTTTACTCATCTTATATAGGATGCACTCTGATATTTTTCTATTTGAGTGTTTTTTGTTGTTGTTTTAATGCAGGTTGATATCCTCTAAATTGATTTCACAATCCACAGTGAATTGAGACTTGCTGTTTGGAAAAACTGTCCTAATCTTATCATCTCCCTCCATATCCCCTTCTGCCATTGTAAGCACCTATTTTTCCTTCCTGCTGCCAATGCCTGATCTCCTTGACCAGGGTTTTTCTCCATTGCTAATTGATTAACTGTTGGACAGAATATAGATTCAGCTTTTCCCCTTGTCCTAATAGACAGCATGTAGTACTTCTAAAAATTTCTAAGGTTTTTAATTGTAATTATATATATTTATCTGTTGGGAATGAATAGAAATGGGTGGTTAGGAACAAATGGAAACAGTCTTAGACTATATAGGTAAAGAATACATTAATACAATTAATATGGTAGGTCCTTGGAGAGAGATGAGTTATTTGTGTTCAGAAAACTAACCAGATACAAGTTTTGTGTGCATTTTGTTTTATAAGGAAATGCCCAAGACCTCTGGGGAAGAATGAAAAATTGCTTCTATGAGACCATATAGGACTGATGATTGTAACTGGTGAAAAGCAAGGAAAAAGTAGCTGAAGACCTTGTGTCAACCTGTGTTCCTTCAGTTATTTTGAGGGTCCTCTTGAAAACTTGGAAATCTAGTGTTCTATCTTGATGTAGAGTTTGCATCCTCTACTACAAAATGT